AGTGCATTTTCAAATTTTGAAGCATTGTCAGTACAACATATTTAAAGACCATATTGGCATATTGTATACCTTTCAGTTTATCCCTTAAAATTGGTTTACTTGGTCTTAAAAAATTCTTTAAGAAAGTCTTAAATTGAACTTTTTTAAATGTAACATTTAGCCTGCAGATGTCTTATTATTGACGAATAGAAAGTTCAAAAGAACAGCATTTATTTGAAATAGAACATTTTCATTAACATTATAAATGTTTACTGTCATTTTAATTTATTGCATACTTGCCAAAAAAGTATTCATTGCTTGAAAAACAAAAAACTGACCCCAAACTGTAGTGTATTTCTTAAACAGCTATTTCTATCTGATCTAACCCTTAAAATAACTTTTGTTGATGTATATAATATAATATTTTTACATTTTGAAAAAAAGTAGCTAAATTAGATGTTGAGCACATTTTTTTGACTATATTTGACATTCCACATTTAACATTTTCATATAATTTCAAAGCACTCTTGAACTATACATGTTCAACCATTTCACATACATGCTACTGACATGGTCTTCAGTGATTATATGATAAACATCTGAAGTTATGTCAACTTATTGTATTAATGTCACTTTTATATTCTTGCATTAAAAACATATTTTTGTATCATCAGTGTGATACACACCATAATTATTCATAGAATTTTGAATAATTATTTTGCTCACCCTTATTAACAAAAACTTCAGCTATAATGTGTTAGCAGATCAAGTCTACATAAAAAAAAAAGCTCATCTTTCCTTTACTCCTAGTTAAACAGAAACAGTGTTGGTGAATCTTAAGGGTTTTCAAACTGTCCACCATTTTATTTTAAAGTTATTCAGTTTCACTTTGAATATGCCTTTTTTCTTAACACTCTCCAAATGCATGTATGATGTACCTAACACAAGGACATTTCTTGGTTACATTTATATATAGAACCATGTTATTTTTTGGAATATATTACACACTGAGCCAAACTGTCTAATGGTCTACATCTTTAAAAAAAAAAAAATATATATATATATATATATATTTGGCTAACAGATGATATATTTTATGATTACAATCAGAGTAGTATTTATCTGGTACAAAAAAATAAAATAAGGATCTTAGGGTAACAGCATTAAACCTGAACAGATACATATACTAGTATTGGGGGTTTTGATTCATCCCAGTAACTCAAATCTTTTGAATCTTTTCACCAGATTTGCTTAAATTAGTTTTTAATTTACATTGCACTAAATGCAACAAATCAAATAACAATGTCTGACAGACACACACTTCTTGCATGAGTTGCATCATTTTTTGAACAGATTAATTCAAATGACCTAGTTATATTTTACAATTGTATACGTTTTATACATGGTTATATTAAATATAGTATATATTGTAGTTAATATATGGAAAAAGTTTATAGTGTCATCACTTTTAATTCATTACTTTCTATCACTTGGAGCCCAATAATGATGAAGAGTTTACTCTTCTAGCTTGCTTTAATCTTGGGGTTGATGGATGGAGTTTAGTCATCAGTTTTACTGAAGAAGAAACTCTCAGATGATGTACAAAGACTAAGGTTTGTATTTACAGTCAAGTAGATATGTCATGCTTAAAAGCACACTTTAGATGATAGCAGCACGCTCCATTTTCTGGAGTGAGAATAAAGTACTGTACATCACCCCTGATCCCGAACAATAGAGGCTGAAATAGATTTTGCCGTTTCTATTAATGGCCGTGCTACTGCCGGACCTGTCATCATCTCACACCAGTTAAAAAGACAGATCACACTTAAAGAAAAATACAAACAAATATCCTTAATTGCCATAGCTGCTTTTCAGCAAGATAATATAATGAGTTTGCAAAACAACACCATCTCTTAATGAAATATTCATCAGCAAGCTGATTTTAATGATTACAAGCAAACATTAATGAGAAATAATAGCAATTTTGTTAGGTTTAAAATGTCTACACAACACAGCCGTATATATATATTTTTAGTTTTGTTTGTCAGCAGAAGCTGACTGTACATTAACTTTATTTTTGCTCTCCTGTAATAGGATGCTAAGAGCACCATAACGCATATGCTCAGCGCACAAAGCTTGAGCAAGATTGAGTGAGATGTTAACTTCACTGTAGACTTCATTGTAGATCTCACTGGCCTGAGATTTCATGTGAACTCTCCCTCACAGCCACCGCTGGAGTTCTGGAGCAAAAGGCTGCCCCCCAATGGTGCAGCTTTTCACTGCCACACACACACACTGAAACAGACAGCTGTACATTGCTTAGCATCTGATTCTTGGATCCCTTCCAGGGTTTATGTATAATCAGAAAATGTAGTCTTTGATGTTGCTTTATTTCCCATCTTCCCATTAATTTCTTTTTTCGTATCTCTGCGGCAATACAACTGCGATAACGTGTCTCTTTTGCCTGTGCCTTTAGTCGGCCAGGGGGGTCTGTGTGCTGCGTAATGTCAGCCTTGAAGCACGAATCCAAAGCAGATCAGAGAACAGAGAGGGTCCAGGGCACAGAGGTTTGTAGTCCTCTGCACCTCTCCTTGCTAATCGCTGCCAAAGGAAAAGAGCTGTGACAAACAAACAACTTTTTCAGCTCGCCGCTCGTGCTCCGAGGCATTCACGAATGTTCGTTCGCTCTCTCTTCTATTATGAAAGCTCTCGAAATGCTTTACGGACATGCTCTTGTGCTGACATTCTAAAAAAATACACAGGTTTAACTTAATAAAATGCTTTGTGTCTGCCTCGTCAGCTTAATATCATTTGGCCTTTTGCATTTAGACTATGCAAGGCACTAAAGAATATGCTCTCAGGGCAAACAATACTTACAGTATGATCATCTTAGTCTCACAAGGTCTCCTATATTGATCTATTTCTTTTTTAAACTGAAAATTCGAGCAGGACATACAAGTTTTTTTTTTTTTTTTTTAAACAGCCAATAGACTTGATTTGCAACTTGCTAGTCAGTGGTGGATGTTATTGGGGGAGGGGCATTCTGAGAGAGAGCATTTGATTGAACAAAAATATGTGTAGTGCAGGATGAGTCATCAATATTTTTGCTCCATTTTACCAGAAGAGAAAGATGTTAAGGATTACGCTAGCTTTGTAGATTCAAAGAGAAAACATACAGACTAAAAGCCACAAAACTCTCCTTTTAATTTTATGGGTATACTACTACTTGATATACTACGTAATTACTCCATTTGATAGTACGTAATGAGTATTATTGTAGTCACGCATTATAAGTATCACTAAATCAAGGGTTTATTTGGGTCCAAAAGAAGTGCCTCTTCCCTTGCTCAAAGTCCTCATTAGAACTTCAACCACAATGTTTGTTATGCAAGGTATGAAGCACTATAATTACACCGCTTTGCTAATGGCCTTATATTTTACTTCTCTGGAGACACGTCTGCTAAACATAGATGAAGTCATAATCTTACAGTGAGCACTTAGCAGTCGCTACAGCAGGAATGGCTGGATTCAGTGTTTGAAATACTCTATTTTGCCGGGGTGGGCTCATAAACAGTTTGTGGATTGCCACGAGAAAAAAAATGCCATATCCTCTTTTAAAAAAAAATCACAATTGTCTAGTTGTTCCAGAGGCCCACACAGTGAACAAGTGCTGATCTCATTCAGTATAATTTTAACTACTTGGATATTTTTACAAGCAAGCGGTGACGGATTTAAAGAGCTGAGATTTTACACTGAATATCCAATTTAATAAGCAGGCATGGTATATACAGGCACACAATTATACATGCATGCTAAATCTCAAATAAAAACTCACAGCATATTTGTTTTATTTCCCAGAGACCTTTGCATTGTTACAGGGAGTAGCTGACAGCTGTCAATCAGTCCAACTATTTTGTCACATGGCGCTGTGTGCATGCACATATTTCCATGCACTTTCTGTTTGCATTACCCACCATGCAGCAAATATGCTTTAATTTGCTTTTCTAGGTCTTTAGCATGCATATGTAATTGTGTGCATGTATATATGCGTGTGCGCCTGTCTGCTCGCTATAGGCTCTAGGCGGCAACCGGCACAGTCAAAGGCGGTCTAATATTAGCACCTCACTGATGGCTTGCTGTATCTGGACGAAAGAGGGTGATAAATGAGGATAGCACTGGTGGGGGCCATGGAGCCGAGGGGGAAAAGGGATAGCATCTTCGTTTTACAGCCAAAACGCCTACATGCATGTCCCATCCGCATCAGAGAGGATATAATGCTCAATCTACATGTGACACCTACAGATTAGCCAGAGACTGTGAGATCATGAAGCAAGTGAAGGAAAGAGAGGAAGAGGGCAGTGTGGTGCCGGTTTGCTTTCTATCCGCTCCGGTCGCTGATTTGATCCCATGTGCTGTTGTCCGTCGCTAGCCTCCCTGCCTGCTCTGCTTGTCCCTCCCCCATCAGCTCGGGCTGCTCTCCCCCTTGCTCTGCCCAAGCCTGGGGGAGCCAGTGGAGATTAAATGTAGCCTCTATAAACCAAGCACATCATGTAGCTGTGTTTCTAGGGCCTCTCTCTCTCTGACTTTCTCCCTCACTTTCATTCTCTTTTTATAGGATAGTGTTTATGATGCCAGGCATGTGATAGAGAACTTCTAGAATGTCAATGTCATTGGGAATACCAAAATATTTGACAAGCAATGAAGAAAAAATGACAAAAAAGTCAAAAAGCGTGAGTCTATGCCTTTTTCTACACTATTTCTCCTCCACCAACATCCTCCCCCCTTCGGGTTGATACTGCGGAGAAGTGGGCCTCCGGCTTTAAATGATCACAGCTGTGCGAGCAAATTAATGGATGATATTTCTCTGTTTTCCCCCCTTTCTACAACTTTTTTCAACATGGATTTATAAAGAGGGAAAGAGGAACCAGGGGTGTCACGCTTCTACGTTTTCCCCCTCCTCTTTCCAATTTTGCATGCTTCTCAGTCTGCTCAACTCCGAGAGAGAGGAAGAGTGTGCATGTGTGTGTCCTGGGAGAGAGAGAGCGAGCGAGAGCGAGAGAGATGGCGAGGGAGGGAGAAAATGAAATGTAAGACAGATACGGAGAGTGAAAGAGAAGAAGGGGGTGTGGAGAGAGCAAGCTAGCGAGAGTGGAGAGCCAGTAATGCAGTGCATTGATGCATTTGCTGCGTCTCAGGCGTGCTCTTTCAGCGGGACGTAGCCCGGGGTTTTTGGCAGCGGCAGGCTGCCTGTTTTCCATCACCCAATCGAGCCAGACCTGGAATAGGGATATACGTGCGAACGGAGTTGCCGTGGCTGAGCAGCGCTGGACGAGTGAGGTGAAGTGAATGAGTGAGAGTCTCTGTGCTGTGCTGTGTGTGCGTGTGTGTTCACCCCCTCCTCTCCTGAGATCCAGCAGACTGGCATGATTTGCTGGTGGTGTGGCCCTGGCTGCTGCTTGGACTGTCTCTCATCCTCAGTGCCATCACACCACCCTTCGGCTTTTTCTCATCTGCACGATCTCCACCTCTGCGGCTTTTGTCGGCAAGCTGTAATATGGACGCACGGACCTTTGCTTTGATATTACCATCCATCCATCTCGCCTCTTGTCCACCTCTCCTCTCTTTCATTCTTCCTCTTTCGTTTGACGCTAACAGCCTTCCAGTCAACATGACCGTATGACTCTCCCTTTTTCTAGCCTATCAAATCTGCATGATTTTGTCAGCAGGTCTAGCAACAAAAGTTGAAATCTGAGATTTCTCTCTCTCTTTCTTTCTCTCACCCACTTTCTTTGTTGAGCAGGCTGCGAGAGAACTGTGATCGGCTTCATACTCATCCTCATCCTCGCACCAGGGTGAGTTTAAAACCATTTTCTGCTTCTCCCCACCCACAGCTGTAGCATCTGTTAGTGTCTTCATTACCTTTGTCTGAAGCTGCTTGTATTGGGCTTGCCAGTTAGCAGTGAGCTAAAATTTCTTGTATTATCTTGTATTAAAACTTCATGGTTTAGGTAATGTTACAGTTTAGTGGTTTAACCAGTGACGCACGTCGGGGACGCCAGTAGTAAGTCACAGCGACCAGACTGAGAGCTTTTTATGATTAGTGTTGAATGCTTGTGAGAGCGAGACAAGAGCTGGAGGAGAGTTTACCTGGAACCAGGGGCATTTTTCAAAGTGCCCGTATTGTTCGATGTTAGAGACTGAGTGGGGGTGTTGGGGAAAGAGAGGGATCGAGCTTGTTGGGGGAGGGAGAGATGGGTCAATGTTGTGTCTAGCTGAAGGTTGCACTTGTTGTGTCACAGACAGACAGACAAACAAGTGTCAGGGGGATTGGGGGGCTGCACAAAAAGCTATGAGTAGATGGGCCTTTTATAGCCATACATTTTTTTAAATTTTTGTTGTTGTGGGACACATCAATGTGCTCGAATTTTGTTACAGGTTGGCAGTCGGTCTGCAAATGTGCCTCTCACAATCCCTGAGACCCTAACTTGTGACGTTTTCCTGTTATGTGCACGGGTTAGGTTCTTGGGAGCTGAGAGGGGCGCTCTGTCATCAGCCCGCCGGCGTCGGAAACAAAGACATTTTAGTCAACAGTCAAGAGCAACTGTCAGAGGACAGAGGAAGCAGCTAGCCGTGTGTATAAAGGGACAGTGTGCATTGGGGGGGGGAGCGTTGAAGAAATGCCGGCATACAGGTCATGTGATGCGCTAGTGGGTAGGATCAGCTGAGGGTTCATTGTTGGAGGGATAAGGTTAGAAAGAGGAGATCTGATTCCTCTGCATTTGTCGAGTTTAATTTCAAATGCTGCCAGGCCTTGAATGCATGTTAAAGGGATAAAATGAAAACTCTTGTCATCATTTAGTCACCCATATGTTGTTCTAAGTCTGTATGATTTTTGTGTGGAACACAAAAGAGGATATTTTGAGAAATGACTCTCCATTCAGTGGAAGTCAATGGTAAACAAGACATTTTTCAAAATATCTTCTTTTGTGTCCAACAGAAGGAAGTCATATAGGTCTGGAACGATATGAGATTGAATAAATGTTGACAGAACTTTTGGGTGAACTATCCCACCATATCTTACATTTATTCACATTCAATTTCACATCTCTTCATTTGAGAGCAGCACAAAGTACTATGGAGAGCGTCATGCTAAAGGCTCGGTACACTTGTGTTTGACCTCAGAGAGCCCTCAACTGCTCACTTTGTAGATGTGAACGTCATCTTTTTAATGTGTGCTGAGTCATGTGTGTTTGTGTGTGTGTGTGTTAAGTCGCTCATGCTATGTGACATGGCTTTAGCATGTAGCATGGTTACTGTGGTATGCAAGTGCTGACAGGGCCTTACATTTTTGGTTGTTGGCTAACCTAGATGTATATCCCTTAAGGCACTACTGTAGACCTTAAAGATGTGCTGCTGGAGGACATCACCAGAGACCCCTGCAACCAATTAATTAAATTTGGTGAAAAGCATTGTTATGAGCGTAAATGTCGAGGGATGGGGTTGTCGAGAGTTCACCCACACTCCTTCATGGTTCGTTCCATTTCCGTAGTGTGTTAGTGGACCATTTGTCCACTATTGTGGCATGTCTGACTGCTGTTTGAAATGGCAACATTTCAACAAAGGAATGACGCAAAACGAGGCCAAAGAGTATTTATTGCAGTCTCTAAACAAACACCTTTACAAGACCTTTTTTGGCATTTAGAGAGACAGTGAGAGGCTGCTTAATGAGATAAAGGCTTGCCCACAGTTCATGGATGGTGCATTGCCTCGTTTAAGGCATCGACCGCTGCATCATACGTATAATGCATGGTGCCATCACGCCCACATCCCTGTCTGTCTTTCTCTCTCTCTACCCACCATTACACCCACAGGCTGTCTCTCTACCTCTCTCTATCTATCGGTACCCACTGTCACATTCAAAGAAAACTCTCTTCATCACAAACCCTGTCGCTGTTGTTGCAGACATAGAACACTTTGGGGTTTGAGGTGGGACAGTTTTTGCTAGCCAGCGGCGTAGCACTTTGTCTTGGTACATGTCCAGGTAGCCATGCTCTTGCTCTCTAAGAGGATTTGTCTGGTACACTCTACTTAGATTGCTTGCTGAATTTCCGATGGAAATCGTCAAGCTTTCGCACACATTTCTGAGGCTTTCCAAATGAAAACGAAAGGCTCATAGTAGCCGGTCCCCATAGCATGGCATAATACTGGCTTTACCCCAGTGTCTGCAGTGCTGTGCTCTGGCGTCTAGGCTGCAGCTCTATTGTTCACTCCTGTCTCTCTGCGCTCACGTTGCACTCCACTGGCACTGGGACAGCCTCCACGAGCCTGGCCCACTTTTAAGGTGGACCGGTGAACATGGAGGAAGCCATACAATCGCGTTTAAGGCGGACTGCGACAGGTTTACTGGCTTAGAACAAAGGCTGCCGCAGTGAGGAAGGTTGTGCAGGTGGAGTGTTAGACAGCGCCAGGGTGACGCCCATGGCTAAGCAGCACCGAGCCGTCTGACACAATTCCAGACAGATCCATTCAGTCGGGTCCATTTGATCTGCTGAGGCTTCATATCCATCGTCCCACCTACCACGATGAAAGATTTGCCCCAGTCCGCCATAGGAGTGTCTGTAGACGTCCTTCTGAAATGCTAAAGTACCTCAAGTCTAAAATTAGTGCAAAGACAGCCTGTTTGATGGAGAGCGATTATTACTTACTTAGTATTGAACTATGGAGTTTAAAAGTTGTGTGTATCGGTTAGTATAGTGACTATTCCTTCTGCAACCAGCCAACACCGATCACTCTGATTGGGTTCTCGTGAAAAAGAGTCCGGGCTCATGATGGTGACCACATGCTAGTGCGATTGTTTATCACAGTGTTCATTTATTTTTTTAAATAAATCATGGCAAGATGGTGTGGAAAGCACCTTGTCTCTCAGAAGTAACAATATTTTCCATGCCCACAGGTGGTGTTGCTTAATATTTGGTTGACATATAAATGGAAGGAGAAATTGATCCAAATTTTATCCTGAGACCTAAAATAATTCTTCTACAGTGCTCATCGCTATTGACCTATAATGTAAGGGAGGTTGTGGCTGAATGTCTGCCTACTGAGCAGTCATATGGAGAAGGTATGTGCTTGTCCATGCTCTCCCTTGTTCTAATGGACTCTCTGGAGTAAGTGGGTAGACTGAATGCACATGTATAGTCAGAAGTGAAGGATGCATTTCAGTGATTCTTATGTGAACACGCAGTAGATGATCATGTGTGTCTGTCATACATTCATCCACATGCGACATTCCTGAATACTTTTTCCCTTGGGACAAGGGTAGGCTACAGCTAGTGCACTGATTAATGATTCAGAAGAGCACAGCTGTGTGTGTGTGTGTGTGTGTGTGTGTATAGTGAGGGAGCAATCATAGTAATGATATATCAGCCAGTCTGAATAACTGACCGATATTTGACCATTTTGACATTATCGGCATCAGCTGACTGCCCTATGCTTTTGATGAACAGGAGTGGTCCATTTAGTAGATGATTTTATCCAAAGTGACTTAGAAAGGTGTAACATAGGTTCTCTCCTGTGTCAATTCCAAAATCAACCAAAAGCCCTGTCAATAACATTTTCTATTTCAGTTATTTTATTGAGTATTTGCTAAAGACTTTGTAAAATAAATTTAAATTAAGCTACTTATTGTATGTCTTAATAAACATCAAGTTGTATCAGCATTATTTTGGCTATCCCACTCTCTAGGTATCAGCACTGGTCCATATCGTTTGACCACTATGCCTGTATGATGGAGAATGGCTGCATCTACATTGGTCCACAGTTGCTGCACAGGCTGAGCTGCTTTCTTTCATAATGAGCGTAGAGAGAGTTTGCTGTGTGCATGGCCATCTGTGCAGACAGGCAGGCAGGCTGGCTGGCTTCTCAGACCTCAGTACAGGTTAGAGCAGTTTAAGGATTACCAGCACAGGCATAGATTAATCAGCTCACAGGCCTAACCTAATTAATCCAGCGGGGAAATATCACCAGTGTATATCAACAAGCCTTTCTCTTTCACTCGGCCCTGCCCAGTTCAGGAATGCACGGATAGGTCAGCCCTCTCATCCTCTGTCCCAGACTGTCCGTGGAGCTCACCGAGCAGAACAGTATTCCTTTCACTGCACTCAGGTCAGTTGGTTCATATGGAGACTGCTTGGAAATCCCCTTAGTTACTGTGGGAATGTGCTGCTAGGTCGGACCTGTTCTGGCTCATCTAACTGGGCCTTAATGAACGCAAACGCTGCGGTGGCTAATAGTGTGAGATTACCTGTGTTACATTCGTATTCATTAACTTTTAGCTAGTTAGTTATTTTTTTTAATAACTGATTAAACTAAAAGGAAAGATCTGAAAAATGAGTGGGACACAATTTACCTGGGTCATGAATATTAATGAGGTGATGTAACACATTCAAGCCATATTAGGATTACTGCTTTCCAGTTGCACTTCTGCTCAACTGCCGAGGTCGTTTTATGTGTGTGGCTACATTTTTTCTTTACACTGTGACCAAACAAAACAAAATGACAAGCTCTTAAAATTTGATTATTGCTCTAGAAGTGGATGGGGACAAATCTAGAGATTTCTAAAAATGGAAGGACATTAAACTGTAGCAGCTGTACTTAAGGTTGCCAAAATTATGCAGTTGATTTGCTGATCTGATCTGAACTTTCTGAGTATTGTTATTAGTGAAATGCCCTATCATAACTGTATAGTGATTATCATTGATATAATCAATAAAACACTACCATTCAAAGGTCTGGGTTTGGTAAGTTTTTAAAATACATTTCTTTAATTAAATGAAAGAGGTTTCTTATTGCTCAC